CGGGGAGTGGGCGCGGGGAGTGGGGGGGCGCGACGTGGAGTGAGCGCAGCGTGGGGAGCGGGCACGGGGAGTAGAGGGGCTGTGCGTGGTGTGGGGGAGTGTGCAGGGCGTGGGCGGTGGGCACAGGCAGTGGGCACGGGGAGTAAGGGGAGTGTGCACGGTGCGTGGGGTAAGCGTGCACAGCGTGGAGGAGCGCCTGTGGTGGGTGTGCACAGCCTGGAGGAGTGTGCACAGGGAGTAGGGTAAGTGTGCGTGGCAGGGGGCGGGAACGCCTGGCGTGGGGCGACTATGTGCGGCGTGGGGATTGAGTGGTGAGGGGTGAGCCTACGTGACCTGAGGGTGAGTGTGGGGAGCTGCGTGGGGTGCGCAGTGGGTGTGCGTGAAGCGGGAGAATATCCACAGGGACCTGGGGAGTGTGCAGTGTGCGGGAGTGTGCACAGGGCATGCGTGGGGGGCAGGCTGCTGTGGACATGGGGGGAGTGGAGGATTGTGCGTAGAGTATGGGTGAGCGTGCACAGCACGGGTAAGCGTGCACAGCATGGGATAAGCATACTCAAGGTGTGGGTGAATGTTCACAGCACGAGGGTGCTCAAAGTGTGGGTGATTGCACAGGATGTGGGGTGATTTTTCATGGCATAAGTGGGTGTGCGTGGTCCATGGATTGCACGTGGTGGGGGTGAGTGTGAGTACTGGGCTGAGCATGCATGGAGCATGGAGAACATGTGAGTGGCGAGGGTGAGTGTACATGGGGTGTGAGGTGAGTATGTGAGTGAGTGTGGACAGTGTGGTTTGAGTGTGATGGGGGTGTAGTGTGAGTATGCTGGGTGTAGGATGAGTGTGTCTGACATGGGGAAGTGTGCAGAGTGTGCGTGGTCGGGGGTGTGTGGGGAATGAGTGTGCGTGCAGAGGGTAAATACATGGGGCATGGAATAAGTGTGCATGGGGAGAAGGGTGTGCATGGGGTGGGATACATGGGGGTTATGAGAAGGGGGGATGAGTGTGCTCATGGTGCAGGGTGTGCATAGGACACTGGGGGTGCAGAGGTACCTGCGTGAGAGCTGGGGGGGCCTGGCATGAGCTGGGGGACTGCAGGAGAGTGTCCTTGCCAGTGTGAGGCATGTGGTTGCCTGTGTGCAGAAGGGTGTGAGTGGCATGTGCAGGAGGTGTGATTCTGTGTGTGTGGGCACGTGTTCAGCCCATGGAGGTATCAGGTTTTGGGCTCTCCCAGCCCAGTGCTGAGGCAGCACTGTTGGACTGATGCCTTCAGAGGAGCAGTGGCCGTGGCTCTAGCTTCCCTCAACTTTTCAGTTGAGGGCTCCCTGTGTTGACTTCCCCACAGCCAGGTTGTACCTGCCTCCTTGGCACCATCGCCCCAATACTCAGTACCCCTGTCCCTTACTGGGTCCCACTGAGCAGGAAGTCTCCCAT